GTTCTTGTTGACAATGATGTTCATGTGTTGCCAGTGATGAAAAAAATTACACAATAAATACACTTGATATTCAAACAATGTATAAAAATACAACAGACAACTGCATATTAAGAAGTTCAAAGGGGTGTTTGCGATGTAGTGATGGGTATCACATTTCAAAATCTGTTTGTGTGAAATGTGAATACCCATGCACTTATTGCTCGAATTTAACGTATTGCACAAAATGTGATTCATATTCGTACACCAAGAATGGCAAGTGTTTCGAAATCAATGGGATATTGAGTGTGTGCGATGTGATGATGTCGACATATGAAGGATGTGTTGTGTGCAAAGACGGGTACATGCGATCAAGTGATAGCAAGCAATGTGTTAGTTGTGACACGTCGTGTGCAACGTGTTCCAATGATGGTGATTGTGTTGTTTGCAGTGATGGATATTACAGAACACCGAATAACAACACAAAGCTGTGCAACTTACAGACAGAATTGAACAACTGTTTGAACAAGACGACGAGTGGCTGCACACTATGTGAAGATGGTTTTGCACTAAAAGATAATTTGTGTTACAAATGTGGTCAAAACTGCATTTTTTGTGGTGTTACTTTTGAGTGTTCGAAATGTGGTGATAACAACATTTTAAGAAACGGAGTGTGTGTTCACTTCTCACAAATACCAAATTGCATTTCATCACAATACTCCATTTGTTGGGAGTGTGCAGATGGCTACAAGTTGAGGGACGACAAAATAGAGTGTTTTGCAAACACTATTTATGGATATGTTGTTGGTATTGAGGTTCTTTGTGTTGTTGTGATGGTTGTTGTAGTTATTGCAACAGTGATCATTGTTGTTCTGATTGTGTTTAAAAAGAAAGACAACAAACACACTGAAAATATTTGTGTTTTCAAGATGAGTCGTTCCAATATCATGATGACTAAACTTGAAGGCGCCATTCTTTCAAACAAAAATGAAATTTCATTTGGTGATGAAAGTGACAAAATACAAATTGAAAGTGAAAGTCGTGACTTGTTGTGTGTTGGCAACTCGTCTAAAAATAACATGAAGATTCAAATCACAACAAAAGACAAATGTGACAAATACAAAATTCGCACAGAACCCAAAATTGTGACTTTGAAGAGCGGATTTGCATGCGAATTTAAAGTCTTTATAACGCCATATTGCACAATGGATTTGAGTGACGAAATCATGATTGTCTCGCTTGATTTACATAGTGGTAAACAAAACACGACTTTTATTAACATCAAAGCACTGGTGGAGAACTCAACACATCTCGATTATGACGAGTTAATCGAAGAAAAGAAGATAGGTGAAGGATCATTTGGCGTTTTATTTAAAGGTAAATACAGAGGAAACACTGTTGCAATTAAAAAAATGAAAGAATTCAACGAAAATAATAATGATGAATTTACAAAAGAAGTAGCTATGTTGGACAAGTTTCGAAGTGAGTATATCACACACTATTATGGCGCTGTGTTAATTGAAAAGAAACAATGTATGGTTACCGAATTTGCACAATATGGATCTTTAAGTGACTTAATGAAACACAAAATAAGTGACGAAGTTGACATGAAACTTTGAATCAAAATTATGTTGGACGCATCAAGAGGTATTTTGTATTTACATGAAAACGAGATATTACACAGAGACATTAAGCCAGATAATATTCTTGTTATTTCATTAAATTTAAATGATAAAGTGAATGCTAAATTGACTGATTTTGGGAGTGCAAGAAATGTCAATATGATGATGACTAACATGACTTTCACCAAAGGTATCGGTACACCAACCTACATGGCACCTGAGGTGTTAAACATAGAGAAGTATATGAAGGCTGCAGACATTTATTCGTTTGACATAACTATGTTTGAAGTGTTAGGGTGGTGTGAAGCGTATCCAATTGAGAATTTTAAGTTTCCTTGGAAAATAGCTGATTTTATAATGTCAGGAAAACGACTTGAAAGAAAAGAAAACATTCCAGAAACTCTGTTTAAAGTGATTAAAATGTGCTGGGTACAAGAAAAGGCAAATAGAGTTTCTATTGATAGAATAGTTAATTTACTTACTTTGTAATTGTCTTGTATTTATTTTTGACTATTAAAATATTATTAAGTTGATATTTATTGTTTGTTTAAAAAAAATTAAATAAAAACACAACATATTCAATTTTTTGTACATCAATGTCTTTATAATATATATATATATACCACAAATCAAAAACCGGACTTTTTCTTTGGTCTTTTTTTGAAAATAAAATAATGTTTCAAAAGTACTTTTTTATTTATTATTAATATTTATTTATTTTACCAAAATACTTTTTTGAGACACTTTTTAAATTATAACTTCCCAAAAATGATTTCGATTGTTAAATTATTTTGTAAAAGTTTAAATAAATAACGAACGATTATTTACAACATAAATTATATATTATAAGAAACAACATAAAAACATATAATATTAAATATTTTTCATATGAAAACTTAATTATAATCATCTTATTAATTTCACCACTGTTTGATCGTTTGAAAGTGATTAATTTTACAAATTTCAAGTCTCCTTTTATAAGATTCAATAAGTGTGTTTATTTCTTTGAGTCCTATTTTATTCCACATTTTTTCAACGTTTTGAAAAATTTCCATTTCATTCATTCCAGCTGTAATCTCAATTCGTCTTTTAATTATTGACCAGACATTTTCAATTGGATTGAGGTCTGGGGAATTTCCTGGCCATTTCTGAAGTAATTTAAATTTATTGTCATTGAAATATTTTAGTGTTTTTTCGATTTGTGTGGAGGGGCGTTGTCTTGCATAAAAATGTATTTTTTCCCACACTTCTTTTGAATATAATTGATTAAATCATTTTCTTTGAACATTTGTATGTATTTGTCTGCATTGATTTTTCCGTGCAACCGAATTAATTTACTTTTATAATTAGGACCAATCATTCCAAAAACCGTCACAGATGCAGTGTGTTTTGGAAAAAAAGTGTAATATTTGGAATTTTCAGAATGTGGTTGGATCCACATTTTGGATCGACAATCTTTCACAAAACAAAATCTATATTCATCTGCAAACACGATTTTGCGAGGTTTTTCCCACTTTTTTCTATTTTTTGAATCATTTTCAATTCAACAGTTTCAAAGCGTTTTCTATCCAATATATTTTTTAAAGAAAGGAGTGGGTTTTTCGGTGAAATTTTATATGTAAAGTTATTTTTCTTATTCTTTGACTGTTGTAGCTGAAACCATTGTTTTATGGAATTTTGACAATTTTTTGGCACATTGAATACAATTTTCTTTGGGATATTTTTAGTTCGTTTTATCACCAACCTTTTTATTCTATCTCGTTGTTGTTGAACTTTTTTAACAAAAGAAGACCGTTTCAAATTAAAGTATTTGTATATTCGAGCCTTTCCAGGTGCTACTATACCATTTTCTCTAAAAGCACGGATGATATTATTGGGAGTGCAAATTCAACTTTTAATACATTTTTCTATATTTACTTCTTGTGACACTTCTTTATCAAGTATTATGATAGCTGAATTCAACAATTGATTTTTTGACTTAACTGAAATGATGTCTAATTTTGAGGTTGTTTGTTTCATAAACATTCTTACCTCTTTCATGAATACATCAATTTTATCTTCCTCAACATAATCAATTGGTATTAAAAATGTTTGTTTTGTTGAAGTTCCACTTCCAATTAACACATCACAAGTCTTCTCAGTTAATCCAAATGGTCCTTTGGATGCTTCTTCCAAATTTTTAAGTTGATATTCATTGCAATAATCAAGAAGAATACTTTCGTATATTTCTTCGTTGAAAATTTGACATAAATAATAGTTGTGTAATTGTGTAAACCATATTTCACCCGACAGAATTTTCTCTGTACAATCTTTTAAAGGTAATTGTTGCATATTTATTTTTGAGTATTTGTGGTTTTATTTTGATTGTTTAACCTCACTTGTGTTTGAAGTTATTGTTTTACTTTTATTGCAAAAAATAACTTTAAATGCACTTTTGATTTGTTAATACAAAAAAAATGAAGACCAAAAATTGGTCTGTTGGTGGTCCAGTAAAAATAGAAAAAAAAACATGGGTCCACTCAGAAGTTGAGGATATTTATGGCAATATTTTCAAGGCTTTTTCTTTTGCTGATCAATAGTAAAAAACACTATGTCAATTATTTTCTTTGGTCTGTTCATGGTCCTGTTTTTGGTTTATGGTATATATATATATATAATAAGACATATATATAAAATTCATTTTTACACAACAAAATCGTTTTAATTTTAAATAACACAGTTTATAAATAAACTTGATTGTAATTAATATAAATCAGTTTAAAAAAATTAAACATGACTTTTGATTCAAAAATTTCAGTAGATAATTTGAAAACTTTGATTTTAACACAAAATTGTTATTCTTCCATTCAAAATTACAAGGAAAAAACTGATTTGAAAAAATTGAAAAAAACTGTTATTTGTAATAACGGGAAAAAACGGAAATAATATTTAAAAATATTATTAATTTATTAAAAATGTCAATAAAATAGGAGTTTTATGACGTACAATACATTCGTTGTTTCTTTAAGTAATGCAAAATTTCATTCATTGAATTATTTATATTATTAGATATCTGATAAAAATATAACAATTAAAACTTTTTACTAAATAATAATAGTATTTATTAATAATTAATATATAAAAAAAGTGAAAAGTAAAAAAAGTACGAAAATCGAACAAACACAAAACTGTAAACTGGAATTCATAAGTCGACAGCACTTATTTTAATTTGGTCTATTTTAATGCAAAACATTGGGAAACACACTATTCTATTTATATTTTGAATTTGACTTTCGAATTTCGGGATATTGAGAAATGAACAAAGGAAAAAACATTTACATATTTAAGTAAGTTTAAAACACTTATTAAATCAGTTGATTCCAGAGCTATTGAACTAAAGGTGGAGGAAATTAACAACGACTTTATACCACCAAAGGCGTGAACTAAAATGAATATTCAGTAGACCAACTGCTGTTCAACAATTATAATTGTGAATATGAAACGGCTGTTTGTCTGGCTGTTTATTCCAATTTTAAAGTTTGTTACTTCAATAAATGCTAACATTTTTAGGAAAGTGGTTTTTGAATGAAGTTCTTTATGTGTTTTTCGACAATTGTGATGATGGTTATTTTAACAACAATTCAACCACAACTTCATTCAAATTCAAGAAGTCCTTAGCCGAATGCCACAATTACACTGATGGGAATAAATGCATCTTTTAGACAACAAACTAATATTTGTTTAAAAACACTGGAAATATGTTACAAACACCAGATGTCTTTTTGGTTACTACAAAGAGTCAACAACAACATCTTGTGAGAAGTGCAAAATCTGGTAGCAATTGTTTTATGGGTGAGACGTACTCAAAATTTTTGTCTTGTATTGACAGATTCAATTTGGTCAATGAAGGAACGTGTTTTGCATGAAATACAATTGTTGTCTATTGAAACTGCAAATCGGCACTGTGTGTATCACGTGAACAACTGAAAATTTCAACCAGACAAAATTTGCAAAAAGAATGTCCAGAAGCGTATTTTGCAAATGAAAATGTGTGTACTGTTTGCGTTGAGAACTTACAAGACATGTAATGAAGAAACTAAGTGCATTGTTTGCAAATATGATGCTTTGATTCTTGAATCCACCAAAAAGTATGTTAAAGACAGTTGTATAGAAATGTATTAAAAAATGGTGCTAAGAAAATGTGCAAGAGATGCAAATAGTTTACAAATTCGACTGATTGTTCTAAGTTACTTTTTCGGTTGATTATGGTAATAGTTTGCATAAGCAGTGGTTTCCAAAATCAGTATACTAATTACTCACGTCACATTTTTATTACCAAAATGTTCATTTTTTCTTATAAATTCGTACGTTATAATACCACATTTTTGGCAACAATTAGTTTAAAAACGCTTGGCATAAGGCAGAGTGTTTATACTGTATAATTATATGAGTTAAATTTGCACTTTTTGGTGTTATGTTTTCACGAATATTCATGTCATATTATTATTTTGTATTATTTAGTTAAATACAATTTATACATAAATAAATTACTTAAACATACAAAATTATAAGGCTTCGCACTAAAAATTTTATTATCCAAAAATATCATCGACAAACGCTAATAATACGGGTCAATTTTTATTTAAAGTTTTATAAACGTTTTTTAAATTAATTTTTTTTATAATTAAAATTTCGGGTGCAAAGCCTAAAAATATAGAATAAACGAATGTTGTTAATTGTTAGAAAATGATGTTTTTTAATTATTTACACAACAAATTTATCGACATGATTTAAGGTTTAAATAAAGTAATAACAGATATACAATATTGTTTATACATATACAATTGTTAAACATTACTTCCAGTTGGATAAAAATTGTTAATTACATTGTTATTTTTGATTTTGAATATTGAATTTTTGGTGTAATATTTTTTAAACTAAGAATAAACAAATTAAATAATTAATATTTTATTCATTGTGTAAATTCTTCGATATATACAATTTTCATTCAACAGCATATTGTTGATAATTAAATGTAAGCGAGATATGATAGACATTTAATTATTGATTAATTATCGTTTTATTGTTTTTCAAAAAAACACAAATTTATACACAACTATTTCGATAACACCACAACAATTATGATTTATCAAAATAAAGGCACTCATTAAATATCAATTTTTAACAATTTAATACCGACAGTTGTATATTAAATTCAACTGTTTATTGCTACACTCATATTTTGAAAAACGGCTTAAAAAATAAAAAGTGTTTGCTTTTTGGTTAGTAAACATGTAACATCAAACTGAAATTTCAAATCTTAGACTTCTATTGAAAGAATTTTACAACACACAACAATTTTATGAACTGTCTTGTAGCTCATCTGTACCAAGTTTTACCCAAATAAATTTTTATTTTTTTAATTTAATGAAATAAACAAAAAGTATTTTTCATTACATAACATTTCAATAACAACGATTACATTTACTAAACTAAAAGATAATGTTATTTAAAAATAATTAAATAAATAAACTAATAACACACCAAA